TTCAGAATGGGTTAAATTCTGGCAACCATGCTTCAACTGTAAACCCAATGTTTAAGCATTTTATATGATGATGAACTATGCAATATAACATTTTATTTTACATTTATTTATATATGTCTGTATATTTATAGAAAGTATGACTGACACGAATGTAAATACGGTGTAGCCTTTTTTTTTTTTTTTTTTTTTTTTTTTAAAGAACATGAAAATGTAACAAATTGTGGGAAGTATATAACACACGTTTCCAAGGTTATCATTCACCCCTGCCCACCGGTGGCTAAGTAGTAAAGTTGCTGATCACTGGTAGTTCCGACCTGGACGGTTATTCTAAGCTATGAGAATCGACAGCAAGTTGTGGGCCGCCAGATGTCGCTGCTAGTGAAAAACGATGCCCGACATCCTATATTCTCTGAGTGAGAAAGTTGTAGAAAGCACGCAAAAAAGTGTTGCCGCGTCGTCAATCAGGGTTGTGCAGTTGACGTACTAAGTAGACAATGGCTTTGTATATGTTTTCGCCGCTGATTTTTTTTTATATTTAAACGAAGAATACGGTCGTAGATCTCTGAATCGGTGACGAATTTATAGAAAATATGTTGATGCTTTTGCTCTGCCAGATGTTTTCATTGCACATTTCAGATTGCCAAAATTTATAGTTATTTTAATTTGCGATGAACTGATAGAGTATTTGGAGCCACATTCAGTAAACAAGAACGCAGTTTCTACTGTAAGAAAGGTTATTTATACTATTCCTGAAATTATAGATATAAATTGTAATTATATGCTTTTAAAAATGTAGAAGATAATAAGTTTATTAAGCACATATAGACATCTGATAAGCTTCTACTCCATTTATGTACAGCAAGAATTACGTTTATTTTAAAATCTAACAGTTGAATACCTTACAAACAATACTGTACACAAAAAGGAATGTTGTTCATTATTACGCGAAATTCACACTACTGTAAAATAAAAATTTATAAAACTATAAAATAGCTTTATAATATTTTTTCAGTAGCAGTACTACTATTAGTGAGATACTTTTAAAAATAAGTTTTAGCCCAGAAGGGCTATTAACTTCGTTTTGCCATTTTGTAGCGTTTCACTTTTCAAATCGTTGCCACTAAATGTCATCGCACTGTATTATATTTAAAGAAATTAAATAATGAGAAATCTGCATAAATGTATGAATGTTCTCGCACTGTGATAAAACAACGATACCTAGAGCCATGAAATTTTGAATAACGTAATCCTTCATCCTAATATAGGCATCTTGGAGGCCAAAATTTGGAACTGGGAATTTGTTTTATTATCTATTTCATATTTTGTAAAGCATTTATGAGTGTTTGATTAAGAAACTGAATGATTTCAAAGCGAGCAATGGCAACATTGTACGGGGAAAAAAAAAGAGGAAAGAAACATTTTCATCTCTACAGCGCGAAACTATGTATCGGAAATTCTAAAGATATGCGCTTTTTAAATCATATGATTTTGCTGTTGAATTGAATTTTATGGTTTAAATGCAAAGAACATGATATTTAATAAATAAAGGTAACACGCAAAAAATTTAAAAAAAACCGGCCTTTTGTGAGTAATATAAAATCTGAATGCTTTCAGATTTCTCTTTTCTTTGTGTGTGTGTAATTTTATTACGCTTTAAAATTGGTTTCTAAGGGAGGACGATCTGAGGGAAACTGGCTTGTATACACATTACATCTGGGGAAAGCCACGAAAACGCCGATGCGGGCAGCTCCTTCGTAGGATTCGAACCTCGGACCAAACTACCTGCGTTCAGCGACTCTACCGCTCGGCCACTGGTTGGCTTATTAGCAGAATTATACTGTATTATTATTTTATTATGCTATAAAGTAACAATGCTATAAGACTGAGACATACCTTTAGAATTTTCGATACAAAGTTTCGCGCGCTAGAGACGAAAATGTTTTTTTCCTCTTTTTTGTTCATGGACTAGTACTTTTGTAATCCATTAGTATTAAAAAACATTGTTTCTTTGCAAACTTAAAAAAAAGATACTGTTCATAGTAGAGTTCTCATTTTTATATTGTAAAAGAGATATTGAATATTATTAGTTTTCTATTTAATGTGTCGAAACGCTGGTTTGACAAGGACTTCAACTGCAGAAAAATATTTAAAGAAACAGTGTGAATCTGGAAAAAATCACCTTCAGTATATTTAAAAAACACTGATAAATTTATAAAATAATCTGAATTAATATAAAAGATTTTCTTATATGAAATTATCTAAGTGCATTTAGTTACAATATTATTAACGTGAATATCGTTTTGTGAAAGGTAAAGAAAATATTTTTTCGCGCTAAATAAATTAATGGATTATTTATTTTGAGCAAAAAAAAGAAAGAAAGAAAAGAAAAGGCACGAAAATCCGAGTTTAAATTATCGCGAAAAGTTAAAGAAACGTTTTGTCAACGATTCATCTTAACCCGTGTTCTTCAATTTCCTATATACGTCGTACATTGATTATTTTTACTTTGGTACTTGCATTGTGAAAATAATATTACTATCTTTTAATTATTTTCACTAAACAAAATATTTTGAGAAGGAAGAATATTTAAACTTAGCAGTTCTTATATCCATACAAAATTAAAATAACAGCAATGTTATATTGAAAAAAAGGTATTAGTAATTGTGTGACAAAAATTACAAATACGAATTAATCACACATACAGGATAGATTAGTATAATTTTGGTATATACTATTTTATATTGAAAAAATATTTTTCTTTCATGTTAATTATAAAATAAATTATTTAAAATAAAACATTTTGATGCGTGTGTGATAGCTGAATGCAGCAGCAATCGGCCGTACTGTAATAGCGAATGAATTTTAGTCCTTTTCCCAAAAGAAATAATTTTCATAGAAAAAGAAAATAAAAAAAAAGGAAAAAATATTTTCTTTCTTATTTCTTACTTAAAGAAATATTTTTCTAATATTAACTGTAAAATAAAATGCGTGAAAACAGCTTAATGTAAGCATATTAAAAAACAAACAAAAAAAAAAAGAACTTACTTTGCAATTAGATTGTAATGCAAGTTAATCATATTATAAATTTAAATGAATAAAATTGCTTATTTCTAAAAAGATTTGAAGTAAGCTTAATTCATTTACTCTTATCTATTTACCGTTGCTTTCATGGTATCCCATATCACTCTATATTTCTTAGTCCTAAATTCTTGCGTTAACTTTCCCCTTAAAAACCGGGATCCTTAGAAAACGGATAACATAACAGCATATTCTGCTGCGTGTTGTGTCATAATACTGTTTTGTGCCATTTTTTTCAAACTACAAATGCAGCGTGTGAGTTAGTGAAATAATGGGAGAATATTCTTAGAACTTCAGCCAGCGCGCGCTATAAATTTCGTCACTCGTCTGTACTGCGATTGGTCTAAAGCTCCTTGAAGCCTTGTCCCCTTTCAGTCAAGTCATTTAAGTCAAATGGACCCACCCGCCCACCAACTGAGGACTACAGAATGTCTTTCTCCGATAAGTTGTGATGGGTTGTCCATACCGGTTTTTTGAGTCAATATTGTTTGCTCAAGTTGTAGACAGATCCAGTGATCATAGAATAGGCGTCCTGGGTTCAATTCCAGGCGAATGGATTGGCTGCATGTAGGTTTTCATGGTTTTTCCCATGTGTTACGTGTATACAATCCAGTTTTCCTTAGAAAGTCCTCCATGAAAGAATTTGCCAGCAATGGAAGAAACTGCAGTAGTATTTCAGCATGAATGTTGATTTTATTGCAAAATCTCCAAAGAGGACTAGGAGAGGCATTTGGTAGATGGCTAGTATTGCCAAGTTTTTCAAGGTGCTGAGTCTCTGCAATTCTCTGATGCTTTTTAAGTGAAAATAGATCGCTGTATTTTTGGAAAGAATAATAGTGCAAAAAAATTGCAGAAAGATTTGGTGATGAATGTATATGTTTTACTTTTTTTAATGTATCATATATTTTTTTTAATAATTAAAAGGTATGTGTATATTAATGTAGCATTTTAGTAGAAAGTGCCAAATTTTCAGAATGGGTTAAATTCTGGCAACCATGCTCATAATAGTCCTTCAATCAAACTACCCCGCCATTTTTGTATGTGTTGTACATATTTTGTTGATTCAAGTTCCAATGATTTTTTAAAATAAATCATGATATATTTTGCCTTAAACTTAATTTTAAAATATGAGCTTTTGAAATTTGCCAGCAGTGGAAACTGCAGTAAACGGTCTGCAGGAATAAAGAATTTTGCTGAAAATTTTCTAAATGGAATAATGAGGAAATACATTGTTGGTAGACTCTGTTGCCAAGTTTTGCAGGAAGCCAAGTCTCCACAATTCTGTTATGATTCTTTTAGCAAAAACATTTCTGTGTACTTAGGGAGAAGAATAGCACAAAACAAATTACGGAAAGATTTGAATAAAAATGTGTGTTGTTTAATGTATCATGTAATTCTCATTTAATAATTAAAATTTTTCTTAGTTGCGCAAGTATGTTTTCTTTTCATATGTTGATAATGTTTACTGATATACTGTAAATATCAATAATGCGGGAAGCTTTCTTAAATATATATATATATAAAGAAAGTGTGAGGAACACCATCTTGCCCCTGACAAGTAACTTCTACCTTTCCATCTGTAAAAAATTTCCAAATTGCGCCAAGATTCTTGTGTTAATAAGTAATTTAAATTTGTATTTTAAAATTGCTTAAATATTTTTTTTTTTTCTTCATATGTTGATGATGTTTGCCAACTTTCGATAGCTTGGAAATCATTTTAAAAGAAGTTGCAAAAACAATCAATCTGTACCCAATAAGTAACTTTTACCTTTTTATCAGAAATATTGCATCAACGTGGTTGCATTAATACATAAGTACCATGAAACCTTAGTTTTTGTTTAGCAGCTTTATTCTGCTTCTGCACTTTTTTTTGTAAATTTCTAGTTGCTTTATTTTGTAATTTTTGCTTACATCTCCTTTAGATCCAAGTTATTGAAGATGATAGGAAGCTTAGAAGTTGTTCTTTTCCTACTGCTCAACGGGGGCTGGTACCTCCTCTAGTAACCACAGATTTTACAGTCATTGATGAAGGTAATAAATTTTATGTATAGTATGTGTATGTATATATGTTAGGTAAAAAAAAAATCTGAAACTAAAAATTACTAACTTTAATTTGGTAACATCCCTTTCATGTCTTAAAAATACTAATATATGAATTCAAAATGCCTAATCTGAAAATTTAATCTCTTTTATGTTTATGTAATCATGCTGCAATGCAGTGAACCCCTAGCCAATCAGATTAAAGAAATTTCTGTCTATAAATATCACTGCTGCTATTGCTGAAGTCTTTTTTTCTTTCCATTTTGCCTTGCTGCTTAAACCTGTACTTGCCACTCTGTTTTGTCTCCATTATCTGAGAATGTAAGTTTTCAAAACTGTGCATGTGCATATCGCACCTGTGATGATGTGTGAACCTGTTTCATTTTGAAATAATAAGTGTTTAAAGGCCAGGTCTGTCTTCAGTGTGTTATCCAATTACCTATGCAGCTGTTTAATTTGAATCTTCAAGTCATCATATACACCGAAATATCACAGTTTTAATTAATTGACAGGATGTTTACCTGCTCTTTCATATCTCAATGGAAACTGTTCATTAATAGCGTTTAAAAGTGATTTAATGAGTATTTTCAAGGAATGTCCCAAAGCATTTCAACTACTTATTCACAGGTAGTCAGTCTGTGTTTATAGAAAGTGCTTCAAGTGTGCCCGTGATAAACTTACTTTTGCTTCATCTCTTCGCTGTTAACATCATGCTGGTCAGTTAAAAAAAAAATAATAATAATAAATAAAATTACAATCTCCAACAGATTCATAAGTATTTTCTTTCATTCACAGTGTGTTAAATTACAGTCACTTCAGTGAAATAAAACTCAAATTGTGCTATGGATTTTAAAATTCTACAAAGTGTTTTGGAAATAAAATAAGGTCTAATTAGTGCAGCTAGAAATATTTTATATTATCATCATATAGAAAATGCTAGTAAGTAGTATGATTTAAAAATTTAAGTATGTTATACTGTTTTCTTATTGGCTTTTAAAACTTTAGTACTATTTTGTGAAAATGATTAAAAATTTTAGGGTATCAAAAATTTAAAATTTTTATATTGTATTTAATAAATTAAGTAAGGGATTTAAAGAGTAGTAATTATTTTATTTAGGGAAGGTTTATTAAAATTTACTATAGTAATCATTAGAAATTTGATATTATTATTATAATTTTTTAGGAACTTGATAGTTATTTTGAGAATGATTTGAATATAAAAAATGAATGATATAATTTTTAACATTTGGTACAGAAGAATGTAATAAAAATTTTGCTTTTGTGTTTTAATATAAAAATATAATAATTGCATATAATTAATTAATTGTATGCAGAGATAGAAGAGGTTAATATAAACTTTGAAGGCCCCTGCCTAATGAAAAAGTAGTAATTTTTCAATAGTAATGCTGAGTAGTTTTTAATAGTACTCTTTTTTCATATATAATTATTATTTTAAATATGTAATGGCGTAACATTCTGATTTTCTGAATGGAATGTTTTAGTATGGTTCAAAAAGGCCTCTTAAACAAGGAATGGAGGCCTGTAGAGTAATTGCCTCTCACTCCTTGAATTATTATGCATCATTTAGTTAATGCATATGTGCTTAACAGATGGATATATTAATTTTTGAAGAAAACTGTAGGGTCTTCCATTTTTGTGTAAAATAAGAAAATTAGAAATGTCTTAATAACAATAAAAACCGTAATTTCAGTAGCTATTTAAAATGATGTTAAAGTGCAAGTTATAATGATGAAAATTTGTTATAAAATTTTGAAATTTGATGACAATTAAAATAAGTAACGGTAATTCAAAATTTTTATAGTTGTGATATTGTGTGACAAATTTTGAAACAATGAGAAAATCTGTTGTTCGATTTTTAATGTGTTTTAGAGTTAAACAGGGATGCTGATTTCAAAACTGTAATTAGTTTTCTTCTGTCACATCAAGTTTGTTCTCTACACCTTATGTGAATTTGACCACTCTCAGCAGTATTGAGCATGAATTATAGGAAGTACCGATTGGTACAGGATAAATACGATGGTAAGGTGAAAGTTCTCGGCCTGACTTTCAGTTAAAAAATTATTTTATTTTTCTACATAATCTCCCTTGACTTCAACACACTTGGTCTAGCATTTATCCAACATCATCAGTTTCTTCCCAGAAGTGAAAGTCTGGGAGGTTGTGAAAATGTTCTACGACCCTCTCGACTTCTTCATCAGATGCGAGGGGGTTTCACCATCAGTTTGGCATCAGGTGGAATTTTGAGGGTGCTAAATCAGGAGAAAAGAGGATGGCCAAGCAAGTCGTACTCCAAATCCTGCAGTTTTCCTATCGTTGATGCACCTTTGTACACAGGTGTGTTGTCCTGGTGAAAGATGATTTTTTTTATTCTTCAAGCCAGGCCTCTTCTCGTGAATTTTGACATCCAGCTGGTCAAGAAGGTTGGAGTAATATTCACCTGTAATTATTCTGCCCTTTGCAAAGTAATAATTAACGGGATCCCTTTCGCATCCCAAAATACACTGGCCATGACCTTTCCAGTGATGTGATCGACTTTGCTTTCTTTGGCATTGAACCACTGGCTTCCACCCACTGCTTGGACCACTGTTTCATTCTGGCATGTAGTTGTTGGTGGGCCCATGCTGCATCCATGGTGATACATTGGCGTACAAAATTGGTAGGATCCCTTCTGAATCAGCCTAAAGATTGCTACCAAAAAAAATCATTGGTGCATTTGCTTTTGATCGGCATTCAGCAAATGCGGCACCCAACTTTTGTAGAGCTTTCACATCCTTAATTCTTTGTGCAAGCTGTTTCGCAACCTTTCTTCTAAAATCCCCATAGCATCAGGTATCTCACTCACCTTTACTCTCGCCTATCGTCCAATATGATATCATGCACTTTTTCTATGGTTTCTAGTGTGGTTGTGGTTTTTTGGCTATCCTTCACATGAGTCATCTTTGAGGGAGGTGCGGCCCACCAGCGGCCGAGCGGTAAAGTCGCTGAACACTGATAGTTCGGTCCGAGGTTCGAATCCCGCGAACAGGCTGGCTGCATGGGTGTTTTCGTGGTTTTCCCCATGTGTAACGTGTATACGAGCCAGTTTCCCTTAGAAAGTCCTCCACGAAGGCATCCCTCCTCTTAGGCAGATAGCCCTCGAGGCTTTGCCGTAATTAAATAACCTAACCTAACCTGAGGGAGGTGCGACCACGTTTAAATTCAGCTGCTCACTTTTTAATGATTGATATGGAAAGAGCAAAGTCCCCATAAATTTCTGTCGACTTTGGATGAATTTTCTTAGGGGTTAATCCATCCAAAACGAATTTTATGACCGCACAATGTTCAAGTTTATCCATTTTAACGAATAACGCACAAGAAGTGTGCTGTGAAAATTCGTGTAAACAAACTACTTAAGAGAACAAGTTGAAACTGATCATACGAATTAATGACACATGCAACCAGGCGGGAAACATAAATTTTGCTGATTGGAGCACCATCTCTTGTTCAGGCCAAGAACTTTTTACCTTAGCCTCGTAATGTGATAGGAGACCAACAATAAGTGCATATTTGTCTACACTCATTCAGTTATGCCTGAGATACTATAGCAAGATGTTGTGTGTTGCTCTGATATAGTTAAGCACATTTTGACGTGGAGTCTGATATCTTGCTTGTATAGATGGTTAGCAGTGTTTAGTTTTTATTTGTGTATGAACTTAGTTTATGTTTTTATTTATATATGCATTTAGGCAGCTGAGGAAGATTGTTCTGTAGTTAAACTAGTCCTTCAAAATTTACAAATATTACATTTATTCTTGTTGTTTGACTTCTCCAATAACACAAGTTATTTATCTTAATTTGAGTTTGAATTTTTGTATTTTTTTGTTTTCACTTTTATTATGGAACAGAGGTTTTTACTTGCTGTTGTATTTAAGCATCTTAAGCCATCAGCAGACAGTTAAGCTGAGTTGCTTTGTGAGGCCTTCACCATTTTGGTCAAAGTTTATTTTGTTAGTTTTATGTTCATTAATTTCCAACATACATTTTACAGTGCTTAACAATAAGGAAATGTGATTTATTTTGTGAGTAAAAATAATTTCATGTATGTGTAAAGAATTTTATGGTCTTGTATCGAATGCAATAGTTTCTACAAGAAGACTTTCAAGACAAGGATAATTTTAAAAATATACATTCTGATGTTAAAAAATTATAATATTCATTTCATCATATTCAGTTTGTTAAAATTACATTAGGATATTTAAACAGAAATTTTCAAGAACTGAGAAATTTTGTAGTTATTTCTTGCAAACGTTTAAATTTAGACTGAAAATTTTACTACAGTCTAAAATCTCCTTTCATTGGTCAAAAATGTTATTTTTAAAATGTTCATCAAAATTTTATTTATATATTTGAAAATTATATTTCATTTGTTTCGTTAATGCTCTAATGCTTTCATCTAAAACCACTAGTCTATCACTAAGCCTTTTTCTGTTTGGGAGGGGGATACATAAGATAAAAGTAATGTGAAACTCAGAGTTACTATAATTTGGCTATGTCCCCTTCCTGTCTTAAAATTACTAATAAATGAATCTAAAGTGAATAATTTGAAAATTCATTTCATGTTTATGTAATCATGCTGCAACGCAGTGAACTCCTAGCCAATCAAATTAAAGAAATGTTTCTCTATAAATACCATTGCTACTATTGCATGAGCTTTTTTTAATTCTCATTTTGCCTTGCTGCTTAGATGTGTGCTTGCCACTCTGTTTTGCCTCCATTATCTGAGAATGTAGGTTTCCAAAAGTGTACATATCACAGTGATGATATGTGAATCTATTTCATTATGAAATAATAAGTGTTCAAAGGCCAGGTCTGTCTTCACCGTGTCATCTATTGACCTATGCAGCTGTTTAATTGAATCCTCAAGTCATCATCAACACCGAAACATCACACATATAGTGCGAAAGATTGGTCAGTTTAACATTATGTATATA